TTATATAGGACTAACAGCAGAATGTATACTATGATTTTTTGTTGTTGTTGTTCTGTTCCAACATTACCTATGTAAAGACCAGAAGCGCTATTTTAATGCAGGAATGTAGCTGGGACAGGCTCCAGCCAAATATCATGGCTGACTACAGAGGTAATAGGCAGAGGACCTATAGAGATGTTTGGCACTACACACCCCACCCCAGCGACTCTAGTATACCATGGACATAACTAAGATTCCTGGCTGCATTCATGCCACAGTGGCGGGGGGAGGGGCTCTGTGTGAATGAATGAAAATTTACACAAGTTAAAATCTTGCGATTAACATAAGTTATCTTGATGTATGGTTTTATTCTTATAGAGTAAAACAAGCTCCACTCTTTAAGAACAAATTACAACCTCCTATAAATGCAGAAAGCCCTTTCTTTTCACATTTGTGAAATTACTCTGTTTTGGAATCAGCTCACACCCACTCAACTCTGCTCCTAATCTATGTTCCTCTATGTGGTAACTCACACGCTCTTAAAATGTTTGTTCACAATGGAAAATCCCTGAGCCCGTTATTGTTTTTCTTCATTACAAGTGGATTAGTCAAGAAAACTGCCCTAACAGAATCAATTACAGAAGCGTGCTGAAAACCTTTTTTATTTATTTTTTTTTTTTTTAAATCACAAGACTGTCAAACCACATTTATAAATAAACAAAAGGCAAGATTTTCAAACAGAGGCAAAGGTCAGTAAATCTTAAAGTGTGCCCTGAGATCCAACAGGGATCTATATCAGACCCACGGACAATGTGGGATAAGTTATTTTGATTGTACTATTGCTTGACAAGATAGAAATTAGCGACACACTGTACAGAATGAGTGTTGTTATCAGAGATTTGACTCCTTAAACATAAGAGAGAGTCTGATAAAGATAGAGAGTCTGTGGGGTCAAAGCTTTTGTATCCCCCTCCCGCCGCCAGATTAATAAAAGTCTTAGATGTCCTGTGCTGTGACATGCGCGGATGTGTGTGGAAGCAGGAGAGTTTAACAGCGTTTCCCCTGTAATTGAATTCATTTAGCTGTAGTCCCCCTGCGGCAGAGAACCACCATCTCCTACCACCACTGTTCAGGACAATGTGACATTAAATAAACATCTCTTTTCCTACAGTTTGCTCTATAATTGCTGCGGCAGCTTTATCATGATGAACTGCACCAGTGAAAGCAGTTTCATGAACCTGAAAACCAAAACACCGTACGAACGGAAGAGGAACCAAAACCAACATAACCCCAACTTCTAAAATGAATAGAGAACACCTGAAGATGAATTACAGCGATGTAGTACACATTAGAAGAATATTAAAGAGAGAAAACAGGTGGATTAAATATGAGAACGTTACAGAAATATTTCTGAAGATAAACGCATACACATTGGTACTATACGAGATTATGGCTGGTCTCTCAGCTGCTCTTATTCAGAAACGAAACGACACATTATAACACTTATCAAAACTTGCGGGGAAAAAAACATGGAAATCTGCAGTATTTTTCCTTTGGAGGATGAGGGGACGTCAAATGGGTGGTTAGCTGTTTTTGATGCACGTTACGCCCTTAATGTTGTCTTCTGACCTACTGTTTGACACATATATGAGTTACACTGTGATTAAACAGATAGTGGAGTGAGTCAACTCTCTTCCAGGTTTGTCTTTTGTAAGATAATCACTCCACCGAGCCTCACGAGCCAGGAAGGGGCTCGAGGAGCTAAAGCACATCGTCCAAAAAGCTTCAACGTTACCTGAAACCACAAGGGCCTCGTTTGGTCCAACGGTGTGGCAGTTTCCCATTTTACCGACAGAAAAAACGTGTATCCAAACCTACTCGAAGCATACAATAGGGATATGACCGCTTTTCCTTCTTTTTTCGCCCAACTCGCGTTTATCGATGATTTCTTTTTTTTTTACTCGAGAGTCGAGCAACGCCTGCGTCAAATCAGGCGTAACAAGACGTAACACTTCCGTTTACGAGTTTCAAAATAAAAGTAATGTTTAGGAGGACGAGCTTTTTCTATTTAATTTTGAAGGTTACGTTGTCACACTTCTGTCCTTCTTTTGCTGTCACTTGACAAAGCTGATCAGATACCCCTCCCCCTATTCTGCCCCTCCTCCACAGCAGAGGGATACGATATCATAATAATGAAATGGGCGTGGTTGTTTAAATTTCCCATCACGCAAGCAACCTAAACAAGAGATGCTGTAATTTTCCTAAGAGAGACGTGTGTTTGTGGTAGTCAGCCTTGTGTTTAGTGACCTCCTCACCTAGTAATTATGTCCTTTGGTATCATTAACACGGTTAGAGATAAGTGTGATTGTAACAGTTTTATTATCTCTTTGAAATCTGTATAGTATTTTAGCGACCAGAACAAGCACAATCCAGTCAAAAGCTTGAACTGATTTTTCTCATTCCTGGGGATGAGTGCAATTGCAAACACAGATATTCAAAGCAGTTTGTACTGATTTTCTCCTGTTGCATTCACAGAAGCAAGTATACACTCAATCATAATCTTTGGTCTTCATTCCTAAAGTAAAGTTTGATGGGCTGTAATGATGCAGTAAAGATGTGGCACACCCTGATCTTCACCAACACCTGTAATCAGAATATAAAACCTGCATGACTACCTTCCAGGCAATTCCTAAACTTTAGAGATTGCCACTTCTTACACCTCAGCAGCTGGGTCTCCATGTTTCATAATTCAACATATTGATGATGTGAGCAGCAATTTTCTAGTTCTTTAAGCTTCATTGAGTTTATGAAGGTGTATATTGTTTTTTCAATTACTCCATATCTGTGTCCTTCTGATGTTGTCCATATGGCTGACAGATGCATGCGTGAGTGCTGCTGCTGCTGCTGCTGCAATACAAAAGGACAAGACATGCTCCAGGGCAGGAACCGGCTGGGACTAGTCCTAGATCACAACTCCATACTGTTCCTCTACAGCCAGCGTGTGAATATCCCACACCACAGCCTCTAGCAAGGTCGCACAATACCTTAAAGCTGCATTCACAAACATTCCTGAGCATTAAATCCTGTGTACTGCTGGCCCCCCGATCTTTCACAAAGACAGGAGCTTCTAGCCAATGTTAGGCCCCAGTAAGGGTGGTGGTAACGGTCCACAAGAACAACCCTATCAAAATTAAACACCCCTGCAGAAGGCAATAAAAGACAGCCATGGATGTTTTAATTCAACATCCTCTCTTTCAAAAAGAAGTTCACCCTCAAGCTGAGCTACAGTATTACAGTTGTACACTGACTGTCAGGATGTACCCACTCCTTCCAGCAGGTGGCCCACAGACAAACAAGTGTCATAATGGCCAGTATGTAACAGAATCTCTCCCATGTCATTTTATGCTTCTCTTCATACTGCACAGATGCTAGCATCAATCTATATCTTCCAACTCAGGGTTTTCGTTCCAGATCAGATTTTTTCAGTTTTGTTATTGTGATGTGCACAATAGCAACTAAACGGCTATACTGGCACCCTTCAATTTCATTCAATCTGTTAGGGGAGCTCTATGTGGCTCAACCAGGATAAGTCTTTTAGATTAGGGTACATGGCCTGCAGCTGTTGGATGACTGACATCCTGGTATTCTTCAGAAAAAGACCAGCTCATCTCTACCGCTGCTGCAGACATCAGTTTGCTCAGTTTCAAAATGGATGTGAGCTTGTCTTATACTCATCACAACAGGAAGTGGATTATAGGATTACTCTTATCTGATGTCTCCCTCATCCCTCATCCCCACTGTTTTACCTTTTATTGTCTGCCTCTCCTCCTTACTCCAGAGTTGGCTTTGGCAGTGGCACAGACACTGGAGGTGTGTTTGTAGACCTGTGATGCCCACCACTGCGTCCCTCTGCTGCAGCTTTTCTTTTCTTGGTCAGCTGTGTTTCCTCTTTAACCCAACTCCATGGGGATGTTTCATATTGGTTTCTTTCCAGCTGCCTATATGTAATCTTGCCTGGCCCATCATACCCTCTCAGTGTTTATATGCCATGTATATTGATACTGTTGTCAGCAGAATATATGTCCAAACTTGACTTCCTGCTAATAGATGACTCCCTGCAAGTGTTGTGAGACTGTTATTTTGAGGGCAATCGTCTGCTAATATTCATTTTTCCATTAGTCAAATGGTGCCAATGTTTTCTCTAAAATGTCAGCATGATAAATATGTTGGTCTCCCATGAATGATATGGGACACTACAGGAAATCCATAAATATCCAACAGGGACATGAGACTAATTGCAAAGACAAGGGCAAACAAAGAGTGCTCATTGATAAAAGCCTTTTAGAAAGCTTGCAGTGTGGTTTTGCTTTATGTTCTTCATGGTCACTATATCTCTGCTTTACAATTATAAAGCAATAAAATAACCATTATGATAATAAAGGTTACGCTATAGGAATGTGGCTTGTTTGACCATGATGACCCCCACCTGAAATCTGTGTTACAGAACGTGTCGCTCAGAACAAATTGTGTAACTTTCTCTCATTTCATGTGTAGCAAACTAGTCATAAAAGTCTCTTCTTTCGTCTTAACTCAGGAGCTTTAGATTTCTTTAGATTGTAGTTTTTACAGAGGCATAGCTTGTGGAATTTATGAAATGTTAGAAATACATAAGAATATTCAAAGAAATAAAAAAAAAAACTAAATGCTGTATGTATTGTTGATGCAAAACCCTAACCCTAACCCTTAGTGCACAATTATGCGAAAAATGTTAAGAATAAGAATTGAGCCTTTTTGCATCCAGCCTGAAGAGTTGTATTTTATTTTGCTTTGGTAAAAATTATTTTTTTTCTTTCAACAGAGTAAGTAATGCTCAGTAACATGCTCATTATTTGGGCAAAAAGAATCAGCTTTCAAAATAAAAATTCTGCAAACTTATTTAACCCTCGTGTATTTTTATAAGTTATTAAAAATCAAATCTGATTGTTTTATGACACCTATTAACTAAGACAAACTTTTCCCCCTTTGTGAACCTGGGAGCTGCTGCACGCTGGAGTGGCTTCTGCTAAGCTAATCATTAAGGATAATAAAAGGGAAGGTTATATCACCCAGAGTCACTTAAATTCAGACCAACCTTTCCATGGAGTTTGGGCCCAGAGGAGCGACAGTGGTGACACAGGGAGCAGACATGGAGGAACAGCTCAACAGACCAACATGGAGCAGGCAGATAGAGTTCACCCTGGCTGGCATCGGCTGCGCTGTGGGTCTGGGAAACGTTTGGAGGTTCCCTTATCTCTGCTACAGGAGTGGAGGAGGTGAGAAATGAAGCTGACATTTCATCCACAGAATTGAGAAATCAGACCACCCTCTGCATGTATACACATATCTCAAAACTGGGTCCAAAGGTTAACAAACTGTGCCTAGTGAGGCCTGCTTCAAACACTTTGTTCTGTAGCGATACTGATTGTGTTGAAAATTGTTCAGGTTGTTTAGACTTGACTTCAGTGTGCATTTCATGTAAGAATATGTGTTACACGGCCATACTGTACTCTGCATGTACAGTTGGAAGGAACATTGGTTTACAATAATAAAGATAAACATTTTATGGAGGATACCTCACATGCCTATTACAAATTACCTAAGATATAAGGAGGCAAAATGCAAGTGCAGGATGACTTTCACAAAAGTAAAAGATTAGGGGATACCATAAAAGTAGCACAGTGGAAATCTCCTTTGGTAGAATAATGTGGGTGACAGTTAACTTGCCATCACTTCCGGCCAGGTGCTTTTCTGGTTCCATACCTGTTCATGCTGGTGGTGTTGGGAATCCCTCTGCTCTACATGGAGCTGACTGTGGGTCAGTATACAAGAAGAGGACCTGTCCATGCCCTGGCTATCGTCTGCCCACTGTTGAAAGGTACTCTGTGGCATGAATGACATTTTACAGCCAAACACAAAAACAGACACTGACTGCAAGAAAACATTATTTTGACATTATTTTTGCCTGCCCTCAGGAGTGGGCATGGCATCGGTGGCCATCTCCTTCATCATGTGCACCTACTACAACGTCGTCATCACCTGGGCCCTCTATTACCTCTTCAGCTCTTTCCAGGCAACGCTACCGTGGCAGAACTGTAACAACACCTGGAACACACCAAACTGTACCAACCATGCCACTAACAGCAGCTACTCCTCCACAGCTAGCCAGGAGTTCTTCAAGTATGTTTCACTGTGTGGAAGCAACCAGCGCTGGTTCTCAGAATTGCAAAACCAGATAACCAGATAAGATAATGATTAGTTTATAGCAGGATTACTAATTCCCTGTGGCTCAACAAAACGCTGAGCTGCTTACACAACTGTAACTCTGGCGATTATATCAGAGGTGCAAAAAAAAACCTAATTACTTCAATACATAACATAACATTTAATTGAAATTACATCTTATCAGAGTCATGTGAGGGTTATCAGTCAAAGTCAAGGTTAGTGATAAGAGTTTGGCAAACAGACATTAAGGAAGTGTGGGAAGTGTTAAATCAGTTTTCACCTTATCATTAGTATAATGCAAAAATGATTATACCTATAAATATGTGTATCTTTCATCTGTGGCCAGCAGTATCAGAATTTATACAAGTCAAACAGATCTTGGGATTAGCTTTCCATATGCAGTGATGCCTCACATTTTCACATCGGTTTACTTATTAACTTGTGCAGTTGCAGTTGGTGGATCAATGTAGGAATGAAATGTAAGTTTTTAGAGGAAACTGTATATTTTGTGACAACCGTCTCAATTGAGAGACTGCACCCATAGTGGTGGCTCTGTTGGGCTGTAATGTTCTTTGTAAAGATATATATATTTTTTTTTATTAGATAAAGGTTCATGTCCTAATTTAGTTTTTTGATCTTCAGCAGTTGTATCAAAAAATAAATGGTCAGAGGGTCTTTGTTGTTGAGGCAACAAATGTGAAAAATTTACTACAGATGTGAGAAATACAGTCTTTCTGAATATGTGGACATGAAGTATTTATAATAATAATAATATAGTATTGATGGTCATCTCTGCACAGTGCAAACACCAGTGCTTCTATCAATGCAAAGTACAGTTAAAGTCGATGGGATTGTCATTCATTTTTAATTATTAAAATGTTGACCTGATGATGGCACTCTGAACCAGAAATGTGAACCTGCTCGTGGTGCTTGAGGTAAAGTCAGACAATCACCAAAGTCAGTAGGATTTATCCTCTGGGAACCTTGAATGTTTGTACCAAAATCTGTGCCCAAACAATCATGTACATTTGATAGGTGAAAGGTCAGGGCATCACCAGTGTCATTAGAATTAATCTTCTGTGTACCACGAATGTCTGTACATAATTTTATAGCAATCTATTTATATGTTGATATTTAATTGACATGTATTTATTCATCCTCCTGCAGTAGAGAGATTACTGACAAATTATTGCAGATGTAGATGAACACGGGATGAAGCTTGCATATGGCTGGTAAAAATGGTCAATGATAAGTGGTGGTCAGATTATGATGACGACACAGCAAACAATATGTGTTGAACTTGGAAACATTGAACGGCCCGAAATGGAACCCTTTGGGACACCACATGTTAGCATCCCACCCAGTGTCCATCTGATTGCTATGACTAATTAATTTCAGCTGGAAATAATGTTGGAACCATCTGTTTGTTAATGTCTATAGCGCGTTCAGTTTCAGGCGTAATGTTAAAATGTATGTAGAATGTAATGTTTTAGAGCATTAATTACGTTTTCCCTTTTTATCTGGCTTCTTTGAAGATATAAGATGCTGGAACAGACTAGTGGAGTAGAGGAAGCAGGAGTGGTCCGTTGGGAGCTTTTCCTTATTCTCCTTCTGGCTTGGATCCTCATTTACTTCTGCATCTTTAAGGGGGTGAAATCAACAGGCAAGGCGAGTGAAAAGAGAGAGAATTTGAGACAATCAGAGAGTCAGATAGACAGACAGTGAATGACAATCCTAGTTTCTTTACGTTTGCAGGTGGTGTACTTCACAGCCCTGTTCCCGTATATTATCCTGATTGCCCTGCTGATCAATAATGCGCAGCTTCCTGGAGCAATAGATGGAATAACCTTCTTTATTGTGCCGGAATGGGACAAGCTGCTCTCAGTGGAGGTAAGGAAGAAGAAAGAGGGGAGACAAGGAAACAGGTACTGGTTCTGTCTGACACAGGAGAACTGGTGCTGCTGTAGAGAGAGAAAAGATTAATGCTAGTATTAGTACTGGCTTGGGTATTGATTGGTACTGGCAGTGATTATTGGTGTTGGATAAACATTCTCGTGTTGCAGGTGTGGGTGAATGCTGCAGCTCAGATCTTCAACTCCATTGGGATTGGTTTTGGCTCCCTATTGGCCATGTCCAGCTACAACTCCTTCAACAACAACGTTCTGAAGTAATAAGCCAAAATCCACTCAATTTCCCTCCACAGCAGTGACAGTTATGCTCTCTGGGCAGAAAGAAAGCAATATAAAAAACCTCTTCTTTCCCCACAGGGACACCCTGACCATATCCATCATTAACTCCCTCACCAGTATCCTGGCAGGGTTTGTCATTTTCTCTGCCTTTGGCTACATGTCTCATCTGCAGGGCATTCCTGTTAGCAATCTGGCTGTAGACGGTAAGAAAACAAGTGGTCAAAATATTCAGCTCCAGCGGGACTGGTGTTACTTCTCATTTTTGTTTGGAGAGTTTCACAGTTTCTCCCATGGTACTTGAGTAACCGGGCAATTACTCTGATAATATAAAAAAAGGAAACATGTCATTGTTTGTAATTTAAAAAAAAAATAAAACCAGACCTAATGATATGATGCAGGAGAAGATAAACTGGAAAAGGTCAACTAAAATGCAACCTCTTACTCTTACAGTGTAGCCAAGCTTGTCATACTTCTGTTACAGAAGCAATTGTGACTACCTAAAGATGCACCTACATTTTTCCTCATAGTAACATAATGTGGTACACTCAAATATATTGTTTAATTCAGTGGAACTTAATTTATCTCTGTAAGGGCAATTGTAAGCAGCAGCTGGCCACCCAGATCAACAGATGCACTTGTAGAAGAAAAGAAAGAAAAATACTGTTTCCCTTTAATTCAAAAGCCTGCAGTCTAGCTATGAACTCTCCCATCTTCCCACTAATTTGAACTCACATTCCAAAGATACATTTTGATTTTAATTCATACATTCATAATTTCATTTTCCCTTCTTCGGATGGGTAATGATTTTTACTTTTTCAATCAGCAAAGCTGAACTGACATCTTTGTGTGTGTGTTTGTGTTAATAGGTCCAGGACTAGTTTATGTTGTTTACCCACAAGCCTTTGCAAACATGCCAGTGGCTCAACTCTGGGCTGTGATGTTCTTCTTCATGCTGCTGTGCCTCGGGCTGGACAGTGAGGTAGTTCATGAAAACATTACAGCTTCAGTGTGAATCCACTTCACCAATCCTACAGAGCTACTTTATGACTTCTTTGTATGTTTGTTCTTTTTGGTCAGTTTGCAATGGTTGAAGTGCTGGTGACCAGTCTCATGGATGAATTCTATCAAAATCTGATCAAATTCTTCAAGCGGAAGGAACTGTTTGTTCTTGCTGTTTGCGGTGCAGCATGCCTCCTGGGGATTCCTTGTGTCATGCAGGTAAAGACTGTAATTTGCTAGATGAATGTTAATCAAATGATGACCAAATTGTAATATTCTTCATCACATACTGTTCTAAAGAGTGTTTCTCTGTTCAGGTGGGAATCTATGTTTTCCAGCTGATGGATCATTACACTGCCATAGTGTCCATCATGTTTCTTGCATTCTTTGAGGTTATAGCCATCTGTTGGAGTTACGGTGAGAAAAACCATGTTCAGCTGTGCTAAAACCAGATCAATTTAAACAGTTGAAACTACTTTAAGTCTCACTTAAAATTACTACTAAAAGCTGCTTAATCAAGAATCTTTTTGTGTTGTTTGTGTTACTAAATTACGTACATTTTCATTGTAATCCATTCCAACTTTTTTTTTTATTAAAATGGTACAGTGGTTAGTGGCTAGTTAATGTGACAGTGCATTGTACTCCAGAAGTAGACACATCTTAACAATGTTATATAAATATAACAAGGCTATATGTATATATCTGAGTATCCAACTTTTAAAAGTCAAACAAAATATGCATGGCTGTTTACTGAAGTAGCTTTCTATGTGCAGGAGTGACTCGACTTTCAGACAACCTCGAAGAGATGACTGGAAAAAGAGCAAACATCTTCTTCAGAGTGTGCTGGTTAATAGTTGCTCCTGTGCTGATCACTGTGAGTCAAAAGGCTTTTTTCATACATGTGATTCACACTAAAGATTTTCACCCCTACAGCAAAACAGAGATCCATCTTAAAGTGCCACAACTAAGGTTGAAATGTTTCTTCTTCTTGCAGGTTATCCTGATCTTCTCCATCATCCAGTTCAAACCAGCTCGCTATGAGGACTATGTCTTCCCTCCCTGGGCTCAGGGAGTCGGCTGGGTCATTGCCATGGCCTCCATCATCTGGATTCCTTTGGGTGCTGTTCACACATTGTGGGTGCTCCCTGGCTCATTCATGCAGGTGATGTATATTCACTATTAGTTTTTGTTTTTCCCACCCATGACATTGCAGGTAGTACCCATGTGCATATGCCATGTCATTCTCATATAAAATCAAGCTGTGTATTAATATTATTGTTTTTTTAAAAACAGAAACTGAAGCTGTCCATCACACCATTCGCCCTGAATGAAATGTCAAAGATGCCGTATTATGAGAGGGGAGGGAGATATGGAGATCCAGCCATAGCTGTAATCAGTTCCAGCGTCCATCTACCTCAAAAACCTCCTATTGAGACAAACTTCTGATACCTCATAATGTTCACCAAGTGACAGACTTCTAGTAAGCTCAAATCACAATCACAAATGATTGTTTGCCATTAGTATTAAATCAACTTCAAACACAAGTATGCTACAAAAATTATTTACATGATTGTGAAAATGTGTTGCAGCATATCTGCCATGCAGATATATTAAATTGACCATTTTTGTGAGTCTATGAACTTAATTTTAGATTTTGTTGAACTTCTGCTTACAGTTTTGCTTATTTTAAAATGTGATAAGATGTTGTGGAAAGACAGTGTTTATTATTAGAGATTATTATTGTGTACATCTGTAATAATATCTGTAATAATATCCGACCAACTCTCTTGTGATAGAGCTCCAAAGGATAAAGGCGTGGCACTCAGGACTTTACACACACTTCCCCTGTGTTCATTTGTGTTTTTTTACTTTGCTAAGGCTGCCATCTTTTGGCCATGTCTACTGATGCAATTATGAGTGGTGATGTATCTGAAATCAGGTACTTAACCAATTTTTTTTTTTTTTTTACATACATGTTAGCTAAAAAATGACAAAGAAAGCCACTATTTAACAACAATACAATAATGGTTCAAGGAGCTGAACGTTTGTATTGAACATCCTTTAAAAACATAAACCACTGTGGACCATTTCATTGTGGTGGACTAATTAGGCCAAATGCAACAGGGCACTTCTGATAAGTATATGGTAGTTAACAGAGGAATACATGCATCATGCAGCTCTGTGTCATGTCATGTAAGGTGTAATAAAAACCTGTCACAAAGTCCACAGCGTGTGCCTCATTTCTGCAATGACAAAATGACTCTTAATAGTCTGTCAGGTGAACATAACACATACCACAACTTATTTCTGGGCAATTGTTTTTATTTATTCATTAAAAGGAGAAATTTCCACTGAAAGGTACACATTTTTAGGGTATACATGTGCACAGAGTTAGTTTCTTCCCCTACGTAAGTTGCCAGTGTTTCCTTCTCATAAGTCCTCATAAATGAATCCAAAGTGCAGAACAACTGAAATTACACAGGCAAAAAGGTGGATTGTAGAAACTTGTGTGCTTAATAGACAAGGGTATCTCTCTTTTATACTTTTCCTGATTCCTCATATGGGGTTGAAAACTGGGTAGATCCAAACCAGGGCAACTGAATGTGTGTGTGAAAACATATGGTGAGTAAAGGTGGCAGGACGGACTGCTGACGGTTAGTTACAGTGAGTATGACATAGTAGTGTCAACGGTTAGTGAGTATCAGACCACATCTACCAATGATCAAAAGTTAAAATATTTATAAAAAATTAAACAAAAAAAGGTCATTCTTATAAACAGCAATTACTCTTCCCATTTAATTTCAAAAAAAGATATGTCATATGAACTACAAAAACAAAACAAAAAAAACCAAAGAAACATGTGCAATCAATGGCATACTCTTCCCTCTGAAGTGATGGCTGCGCCCGCATAGCACAACAGCAACTCTCTCCTTTTGTTACTTGTTCCTACTGTAGTTTGGAGTCAGCTCAGTTGCAGACTGGGCTCAACAATTCAGTAGTATTTTTGTAGTGGTTTACAAAGTCCACGCCCTTCATTTCCTCACACAGCCTCCTTAAGGCTCCAGCCCTCTTTGACCACGTCCCTGCAGATCCAACACAGCTGTAGTTGATTTGTTTTATCCCCACCCCCTCCCCCCTTTGCCCAGCAGAGGTCGCTAAGGAGTCACCATGGCTGCTGTCTGTCTGCTCCTCCTGCAGCTTCCTGTTCCACTGCTATGACACCTGCTCTACTGGCCTCATCTGCACATCGCCAATCTGATGACACAAGTGAGGGAGATCAATACAGAAACCAACCACCATTCAGCGCTGATGCACTTAATCAAAGAAGGAGAGAGATACCTGGACATGAGGAGGGGCACTGAGGACAAATGTGACTGCACTGGCTATGTCTTCTGCTTTCAAACACTGAAAAGTGGAGATAAGAGGCATTATTGATGCAAAAGCACTCAGGTGTTTTTTCCTTTGTAAAACCCATCTGCTGAGTCAAATGTGCACTCTTACTTTCATACTCTCATACACTGCCGCTGCTTTCTCTGGATCACTGTTGTGGTGCCTGAAGGCAAACTCAGTCTCTACAATTCCAGGAGATATACACTGCAGGGGAGGAAAAGGCACACTTTTCATTTGACTCATTTTACAGGAAGGACATACTGTATTGTATCCAGTAACGTATGTGGTCCAATGTGTGAGCAATAGCACAGACCAGAGAAGAACCTGCATACTAACTTACTGTGGCTCTGATGTGGGTGTTGGCTTCCCGAAGCTCTTGCCGTATCCCCTCAGTCAAAGCAGTCACAGCGTATTTAGTGGCACAATAGAAATGCTCGTCAGCACTTGGCACCACTCTGTGCCCACCCATACTGTAACAGGTAGAAGAAGAGATGAAGATGCATGAGCTAGTAACCACATTTCCTAGCTCAACCTTGATTCAAGCCCAAATTAAAATAATATACTCTCTGAAAATCTCTGATTCAACAACCCAAAGTTCAAAAACAGGATTATAATAATTCCAAGATTACTATATCAATGCAAATGAAAGGAGTCGTTATTAAAATATAAGTTTAATATCAGTTCTTCACAGTGTTCCAGGTCCAACAGGGGCCAGATGGGTCTTACAACTGACTTTACCTAATGCCTGCTGGATTAAAATCACCTTCAACAAACAGGATAATGTATTCTCAGATTAATCCATACATTTGTTCTTAGATCTGAAGGTTGACTGTATAGCTTACCTGTTAATATTGATGATGTGGCCATCGTCCACATTCCTCTCCTTCATTGATTTGTACGCCTCACGGGTGCAGATAGACAAGGCTAAAACATTCACCTGCAGGGTAGATGAAGATGCCAACTTTTTTATATATATATATGAATTTTTTTAAATATTTTTTTATAACATTTATATATCAGTCAATTTGTTTCCATCTATCGATAGAGCCACTGTATTTAAGACAAGAAGAAACCCATACAGCGTGGAAATAAAACATTAGTAAGTTGATACAGTTTCCACAACTTAATTGTGGTTTATTGCTAAATCATATTTAATAATCTGCCATGTGATGAAACTGCTGACTGATGTTCACTGGGTCACCGTGTTGTCTATCTGAACCTGCTGTTCCTGTCCAGCTTGTGGCCTCTAAGCTGCTCCCGTAGTGACATTGATAGACGGCAGGTTAAAGCCAACGTGGTGGCAAGATAGGGGGAAGTGACCAAACAAGGTCAGCGTACAGATTAAACACAGGCTAAAAATACACTGCTGTACACATTCACGTGGGCTGCCATGACAACAGATGGACGGGCGTTACGAATGCAGGAGTCTGGAGATAGAGACTTTAGAGCAGGGGGTCTTCAGTGGTCAAGAGCTCAATGAATCAGAATGTCCTAACAAGAGAAATAGTGCTGGCTTTCATTAGTGGGCCTATGCAGTGCCAAGGCTTTTCCTCGGAGCCAATGAAGCAGCCTCTGTGAGGGGAGGGGATCTGTGTGTATGTGTGTGTGTGTGTGTGTGTGTGTGTGTGTGTGTGTGTGTGTGTGTGTGTGTGTGTGTGTGTGTCTGTCTGTGTGTACAGATCCATGTATCCAGACACTTTTGCTTTAACTCTTATTCTCTGAACAACACAAGCTCTACAAACACAAGACTGCCACTCACAATGGGCGACCATGTTAGCTCCTCCCTCTGTTTGAGTAGAGCAACCATAAAATCAATACAACATCAACGTAAGGGGTTAATTCTAACCATCCCTGTTATAAATAAAAACGAAATTCCTCTCCAGCTTGTTTCAGCCCAAGCATTTATATTTGTGTGCCTATGTTCCACCCACATCGATCATGTTCCTCCAGCCCTCTGTCTTTCCGCTGAGCAAGGGCTCGTTGTGGGCCAGTCCAGCATTGTTGATGCATACGTCCACGCCCTTGTGCAGTGTCTTGATGGCGGAAAACATGGACAGGATCTCCTCCTCGTTAGACAGGTCACACTTGTAAGGGATCAGTGTGCCACTGTAGCCTGCACTCTGGCATTCTGCTGCCAGCTTCTGAAAAACACAAATCAGACCCAATGTGACGACATTTATATTTGTTAACTGATAATAAACACAAAAGTTCGAACACTATAAGTTGCCATGTAAGTGGCCATAAATTGATTATCAGGTCTGACACACTGTTAGGTAAGAGCTAGAAATGATTAACCCGCAGCAGCACCATAATTAAGATAGCGTTCTGTGATAAACACCCTACCAACTCAGACACAGAGAAAGACGCGAGAACGTACAACCATAAAATCAACAGCACATCAGTTGAGGGCCAGAGGTAACCTGACAGCACCAGTTTAGCCAAAACCACTCCAGTCTGAGTATGTTTGTTTCCTGATAACAAAAAGCATATTCATTCAAATTCTACTGCATTCCAAATCATGACGCTGGATAAGACAAAGTGAGCTTTGCACTGATGGGATGCCTCTTCTTTGGGGTTACAGCTGTGCTGAGCCTGCTGCGGGCTGAGCAGGCTGCACTCCAACCAGGTCAGCTGGCTGTCCACCACTGTGGGGTTTGATACAAACTGACACAGATCCCCCTGCCAGGCACAGCTGCACCAGTCACCTGATGTCTCGCTCTAGGTGCCAGTCAGACTAGAGGGGGCGTGGGTGGTGGCAGACAGAGATGATGCACAGCACTGTGTAACGCTCACTAAAACTGACCCTCTAAACTTTTAACACCTTACAAAAGCTACAGTGATTTGTGTTGGCATATTTTGGTGTGTTGGTCTTATTCCATACATGAACATGAAGTTGCATTCAGATATTTCCAGCGCAGCAACAGTGGAGCCCGATAGTGTATTTTCTTTTCAGTGATCTAAACCAGTAGCTCCCAACCATTTTGTCTGCTTTTCCATTAGCTTACTAGTTACTGTAAATGTACTCAAGATCAGACAAATTGGTAATCCTGTTTAGTGGTTTATTGTCCTCCTTAACACAAATTTGTAGACATATTTTTTTAATAAAATCACTAATTTTTTGTAGTTGAGTTTAATTGAGTTAATTAGTTAAGCTTCCCACATAACGTTACTGCAGAAGTAACCTTTGTGGTAAAAGTACTCCCAGTTTGGAGTCACTGATCTTGACAATCAACAATAAATGTTGGTTTTGACCTCAGTCGCACATAAGGAAACAGCAAGGGCTCATTTTCAGAATAATCACTTTGTACTATTGTCCAACTATGCAAGATAAAATCCATCAAAGCACTGGCAGAGATACCAACTTCTCCACATGTAATGATAACAGACCAGAATTCAGAGCAGCCACGTGAGACGTTGAGGGTGTGACCATGAGTATAAAAACTAATACTCAATAATGCTAGCTAAATATAAAAAAGGTCAGGATTGATTTGTATGTATGCATATCTGTGACTGAAAGCATCACCACATGTGGAACATCACAATGAACTAGATAAAACCTGGCATGCAATTCACATCAAAACTGATGACCTGGGCATTTTCCAAATTCCTTCTGTACATGGATCTTAAGATGCTTCTCTTGCTTTAAAGGCAGAGTGGAGCACATTGTAAAGATATAGCAAGTACATATTATTCATAGCTCAGAATGTACTACTACAACTAATCCCAGAGAAGAGGCAACGTGATGTGAAGCTTCATGGGTACCTGAAATGTCATGAAAAAGCTTATAGTCAGAATATAAATGAAGAAAGCAGCAGCAGTAAGTTGGTAACTACC